TGCCTGATGTTTATTTTTTTTTTGTATATCACAGCATGATCCATCAATGAAATGAGTGCCATACACTGTTAAAAAAAAAGGAAACGTTTCCACGAAATTTTGAGGAAAACATATTTCCCCTATGTGGTAAAACTTTTAGTAACACCATTAAGAAGGGTAACTTTCTGACATTTTTTCATTCCGCTAAAGTTTTGGAAACGTTTCCCCTAAATCTGAGGATAAATGGTGTTTTTCCAACAAGAGCGCATGCGTAGATCTAAGCGTATAACATCAAATTAATAAATTTGTTTTCGCGCTCAGCAGGCAAGTCATCGAGGAAAAACTTTTCGTGGCAGTCCTGTTTCTTGGTCGAGTAAGTATAATTAATCCACAGTTTGTTTTTATAAAACATACCATCATAATTGAAATTTAGAGAGTAAATGAACCAGAGTAATTGCTCATCATTATTATGTTAATATTTCTTCTGAGCGAGTAGGCAATCTACACATTAAGGGCCCGCATAAATTCGTAGGCTAGGCTAGGCCACTCTTTAATTAGCATACTACTACTACTACTACTAGGGGCCTAGGCCCATAGACTGGCCCTATACTGTAGGCTAGACCTAGTGATTATGAGGCGCCCAGCATTGTCCGCTAGGGCTATATCAAGTTGAGTTATTATTATTATTATTATTATTATTATTATTATTATTATTATTATTATTATAGGCCTAGGCCTATCGCGATTTTAGTAATTGAGTCAAATACTGTAGGCCTAAACTGAAAATTCACTGAATAAATGCTAGGCCTAGGTCGACTGTGTAGGCTAGGCCTGGCTAGCGCGCAATGGTCAATAAATAAAAAAATAATAGTTGTATAATGCTGTATATATGCAGACCTAGGGCCAAGGCCTATTAAGAATTACAAATATTCAATAGCACAAATGGCAAAAAAAATTTTTTGTTTAAATAGACCCCTTACATTGGACCTGACTGGAACGCTGGCGGTGCCCTTTGTGGAGGCAGAACCCCAAAAAAATGCTATATCTTAGTACACTGTAGTTTATATTTATTTTTATTGTGCCAAAACTATGAAAGCTACATGAATGAAACTCGCATTGACACATTTACTATTAAGAATCAACGACAAAAATAAAGATTGAAGAAATTTTATTTTTTCTGTTTTTAATCATTTTTTTAAAGTCGTTTTCGCCTAGCTCTTCAAGTGCGAGAGTGCTTGACCAAAGAAAGTGAACGCTTCATTACACGACGCTACCGCAGTCTGGTTGCGTTCCAATGGAATCTGAAAACATCATAGTGCAGGAAATCGGACTAGGTAGAAGCAAAGAAAAACTGCATTTTCCGGATATATTCAATCCATTTAACTGCCTTAATACCGTATCACTTTTAAGCGACTATATGTCCACCAAATTTTGGTGTAATGATTAATTTCTGAGTAATTATTTTGTCAATTAGCGTAGCCTCACCGTCGGGTATACAGAAAATTCATATGCCTATTCGAGCCCCTTCATAGCGTTGGAGGCTATATAAAAAAAATATAATAATCTTTAATTTTTATTTTTGTCGTCGATACCTAATATACTGTATGTAAATGTGTAATGTTAGTTTCATCTATGTAGCTTTCATATTTTTGACACAACAAAAATCAATGTAACACAATCCTTGCAAAGACAGTGTATTAAGATAGCCCTTTTCGTCACTTCTGCCTCCATTTTAGGGCGAGCCAGCATTTTAGCCAGGTCCAATAACTTGCTAGTTATTTCTCGGGTTAATGGTTGGTGAATGTTTTCGAAATCATAACATTTCCCTTTCCTATACTTTAAAACTATTCCCTGCTCTGATCGCACATAAATTACCCACTACAGTATCTCACTTGAATAACCTCGCGGAATTTGTCTGTTAGAGTTGTGTAGTGTATATAATAAAACAAAATTTAGTAAAATATTTTTAAAAATATTAATAGAAATTATTTTTCTTTTCAAAGTATACAGTCATAGAATGCTCTACTTGAACTAATGATATCAGTGTCATTCAATATGAAATTTTTCTCTTTGTGGATATTTTGAAAGTTCAACACTGTAAAATAATCTTGTACATGTATATATCTCTGGACTTGATAACTGTATTATTTAAGTTTCTTTATCGTAACAAGATTACTTATTCATTGATTTAAGTACTGACCCCCACACACAAGTAGTTCAACATTTTAAAGTTCATATAACCAAACAAAATCGTGTACAGTACATTGTCCTTAATACAATGCACATAAATAATTCCATACAATGTTTGCATGTACTGTAAGTAGTCACTGTCACAAAATATAAGAGAGGCTAGTGAATAATAACATACCTGTATGTCACGGCAAAGTCAATGAAGAAAATGAAGATTGTGGCGATAAACAGAGTGCAAGTGAAAAAGATATTGATAATTTAGCCCTTCTGTTACCAATTTGGAAGTTTATTAATTAAATTTTAAAAAGTACTGTTTACTGTACAAAGTATAGTTACAGAAAATGCTCTACAAATTTGGTCTCATGATATAAGGTGTCATTCATTATGGTATATAATTGTTCTCTTTGTGGATATTTTGAAAGCTCAAAATTGTGTAAAATAGTTTCTCATATATCTCAGAACCACAGTTTAGATCCTAATTTTTATATTTCCTGTGGACTTGATGATTGTCCACAAAGTTTTAGAAATTTCGCATCATTCAAATCCCACCTTTATCGTAAACATAGAGAGCACTTTTTTATTGATTTAGGTACGGAGTCTAACAAGTTCCAGTGTCCCATTTGTAATATTGATATCGAGTCCCACAAACAAGCAGTTCAACACCTTAAAGTTCATATAACCAAACAAAATGGTGTACAATGTCCTTACAATGCATGTAATTCCATACAGTATTTGCATAGTTCATTGCGTGCACATGTAAGTAGGCACCACAAAAATGAAGTGGTTTTACGAGAGGCATGGATTGTGAATAATGACATACCTGATTGCTTTGGCGAAGTTGAAGTCGATGAAGAAAATGAGGGTTGTGGAGTTACACAGAGTTCAAGTGAAAAATATATTGATAGTTTAGCTCTTCTGCTGCTGAAGTTGGAAGTAGTAAATCTAGTACCAGCATCAACAGTCCAGGTTATTTTATCTGGCCTTTTAGAGCTTTTTCAGCTTTCAAATACACTAACCATTGACTCTCTAAGGAACTTTTTTCAAGGAAATGAAATTGAAAATGGAGTGCTGGAGAATGTATGCCAAACAGTAGAACAAGGTGTATTTGCAGAAGCATATGAGCAACTGAAAAGTGACTATAGGCGCAAGGAATACTACAAACACAAATTTAAGTTTGTTAATCCAGTGGCTTTTAACTTGAATCGAAATGAAAATAATGAATTAAATAGTTTCTACTACATTCCCTTGTTAGAAACAATAAAGAATGTATTAGAGGTTGATGAAAACTTTTCAAAAATGTTAAGCCCTCCAGACACAGGTAGCATGTTTCTTTCCGGATTTAGTGATGGTTACCTATTTAAGAAACTTCAATTTGCAGAGCCTTGGATTAGAATTATTTTATACTATGATGATTTTGAAGTGGTAAATCCAATTGGAGCCCACAGGGGAAAACATAAAATTGCTGGGATTTATTTCACTATAGACAATTTGGGTGTACATTCAAATAGCAAAACAGATTCAGTTTTTCTATTGCTGCTTTGTCGCTCAAAAGATTTTACGCATGAAAATCTACCTGAAATTCTCAGTCCTCTTATAGAAGACTTGAGTTCATTAGAAAATGAAGGCATAGATGTCAATAATCACAGGTTAAAAGGCTCACTTGTTTTTGTTGCAGGAGACAATCTAGGTTCACATTTCTTAGGTGGATTTTATGAAAGTTTTGGCCCATATATTCAAAGGCCATGTCGATTTTGTTTGTGTAGAAATGAAAATATGCAAGGACAATTTGATTCCTCAAAATTCATATCTAGAACAAAGGAAAATTACACAAGACACATCAGCTTAATTGAAGAGGACCCCTCTCTTCAAAATACATATGGACTGAAATCAGACACCCCACTAAACATGCTACCATCATTTCATATCATCGACGGCCTACCTGCTGACTGTATGCATGATGTTCTAGAGGGTGTTGTGCCATATGAATTAGGTTTAATTCTTACTTCACTGACTAAGGAAAGATATGTCACAACAGATTTTGTAAACAGGAGAATTTGTTCTTTTCGCTATAGTCATTTAGACATGAGGAATAAACCTGTGGGGATTTCTGTCTCTGGAAGTACCGTGAGTGTTAAACAAAATGCTGCGAGAAACTGGTGTCTGATTCGTTTGTTACCGTTGATGATTGGACGCTTTATCCCTGAAGGAAATTTGCATTGGGAGCTTTTACTTAATCTAAAGCAATGTGTTGATTTGATTTTTTGCCCTGAAATATCACATGAAGCTGTAGTAGGTCTTTCACATTTACTGCAAGAAAACCTCCAACTATTCAAACACCTCTTTCCACATAGCAGAATTAAACCAAAACAACACTTCATGCTGCACTACCCTGAACAAATTTTGAAATTTGGTCCCCTCAGGTCCACTTGGACAATGCGTTTTGAAGCTAAACATTCATACATGAAAAGAGTCTTGCAGTCAACAAAAAATTTCAAAAATCCATGTAAAACCCTTGCAGTTAAACATGAATTTAAAAGGACTTGTCTAGCTATTGGTGTAGCAGAAAACCCATTTGGTTTTGATATACCTAAGTGTAATTTAGTTGAAATTACTGATTTTCCTGAATTAGTAGTCAATCAATTACATACCCTAGGCATTATATCACCAACTGTTTATTGTTGTAACTATGTGTCCATTAACTGTATTACATACAAAGTTGGAATGTATATAATAATTGACTTTGCTGATGAGGAACCTGTGTTTGGTTGTATATCTGATTTAATTGTACATCAGAATGGAATATTTTTCTTGAGCAAAAAACAAAAGTCATTCTTTTGTCAACATCTATCAGCATATTCAGTTGAACCTACTGAGAGCACAGTTGTAACATCACAAAGAAATATTCTATCATTTTACCCCCTCTCAGGCTACTATGTTTATGAAAAGTCATATGTAGTATTGAAGTATCATGTTGCTGAATGTGAGTGATTAATTGGTATCATACTGTCTTTTTTTTTTCTTTATAGATTAATCAATTAAATGAAAAGTACCACTTTTTAATGATGGAAAAAGAATTTCTTGTAAAGTGTAATGAAAGTCAGAAAATTATATCTGTCAAAGCAACTGATGACCTAGTGAGTGTAATAAAGAACACTTTTGTCATAAAAGAGGCAGATGTCATTTTGCAAAATTACGACAAAGAATGGGACGATTGGATAGATGTTTCTGATTTTGACAAAATCCCCAACAGAACAGTTTTACGATGCATATCATTAAAACCAAGTTCTGATCAAGTTTCGGCTGCTCCTTCCTTGTCGCAGAGTACTGAAGAGAGTGCAGTTGATTCCGATGCAACAGAAATATTAGAATCAGATTTATCCACTGACTCGGAAGAAATGCTTGATGTACCAAATGGTTACCTTAAAGGAAAATGGCCGAATAAGTTTCCTATTGATGAGATGAAATTCTCTCAAAGTTTGAAGGAGGCCCTCAAAAATAAAGTATGTCTTATGTGGAACCAGAAAAGAGAGTTACTAGATGTCATTGCTAAAGAAATACAAAAATACACAGATAGCCCTAGTAAAATACAACGGCACCAGATTGCTCTAGAGCTCATTTCAAAATATCCACATCTTAGAGAAACATTAGGGAGTGGCACTGATGGTTGGCAGGAGAGAATCAAAGATAAGATGAAGAACATACGGAGAAACAAAAGAAATAACAGTACCACCACTGGTTGTAGACGAAAAAGATTTTCCCCGCCAGCATTAGCAACCATGAATAAGAAAGTGAGTATCAGAAATAATAATTTAAACTCTGTGTGAGCCCATTATAAATTAGTTTATATTATGTACTGTCAGGTAAAGTTAAATCAAAGTGAAGTAGTTTGTATACTACAGTATTGAAAACCTTTCTCTCTTTCTTTCTTTTTTTTTTTTTTTTTATACCAATCAATGTTGGGACATTGTTCTTTCTTGGGGTCCAGGTAACAAAAACTAAAATTTCATACAAAATTTATTATGAAGAAATAAGTACAAAAGGCAAATTCAAATTAGATATTTAAATTCTTTCAAGTAAGTGAATGTATAGTGCTATGATTACTTGATGGGCTAGCTTGGATATTCTAGAGTTAACTTAAAAATATTTAAAAAAACTTTTCTACCAAATGTCATTTGCTATTTTGGCAAGACCAAAATGTTTTTATAGATTTGCTTTTTGTATTTATTTGATAGTTCAATATTCATAGGACAGAATCTTTTAAACATTTGATAGTAATTTTCTCCTCAATAACTATATACAGTATGATTTAATTCACAAGTTTCCTTTCTGAAAAGGCATGAATAATGTAAATGATTGACGCCATTGGTGTATATATGTAATGCATGAAATTTATTTGGCAATGTGGCTTCTATAGAGAACCTTTTTGTGAGTGTGTGTGTGCTGTAGGCCTATGTACAATTGGTTTATTACTATGTTTTTATGACCATTATAAATAACATGAAGTTTTCAAACTATGTTACTTTTATACTAGGCCAAGAGAGGAGAAGTAAACTGGAGCCCAGACATACCAGATGAAGAGGACGATGAAAGTCTTAATGAGCATTTGGAAAAAATGTCAAAGGAATTTAAAAAAGCTACTCCCAACATAGATGTAATAAGACAACGAATGAAAATAACATACGCTCAGAGAAGAAAATTCATTAACACCAATCCTCTTATTTTTGACATCAAAGAGAAATACCCTGCACTCTTCACAGTTAGTGAAATTGGCCATGAATTTAAGAGATTGACAGACACTGAACTCCATAAGACCTTCATGGACTCTTTGGAAAAAGCTGCAAGTAACATCTTATCAATAGCCAAATCTTCTAAACGAGCCTCACAATCATCCTTGAAATATATGCACACAGCGGACAAAAAAGTTGCTGCACTTATGCTGCTGCCACACCTACTGGGTAATCAAGACCACCACTTTATTGAAGTGTTTGAGGTAAACTTGTTGTAACCTATTGCTAGAATTGTCTTTTTCTTGGAAATATATTTTATTCATAAGCAAATAGGCTCTCAGGAAAAGTTTAGTGCAGAAGGTATTGAAAAAGATATTCTTTTTTTTTGCTAAAATATTATAGTAATATAGACCCCTTGCACAGGCAGCGAATCGGGGTAGCGTCGTGTCACGTTCTTGGCCTAGCGTGCTCGCACTTGCCAACATCGGAAGGGATAAGACGAAAATGACTTTAAAAATTAATTGAAAATAGAAAAAATGTAATTTTGTGGATTTTTATTTTTTACTATTGATCCCTAATATATATAGCAATGATATATATGTGATTTTCATCAATGCAGCTTTCGTATTTTTGGCACAACAAAATAAAACAACCAGAATTCGAATTTCCAATGAATTAGAATACAAAACATGATTTCTTTTGCCTACCAGGGTAGGGCGCTGCCAGCGTTTCAGACAGGCCAATGTAAACATTGCAAGGGGTCTATAAGGCGAGTCATGGCAAAATGGTTAAGTTGTTGCACAGGCCAGTATTGAGTAAATCATATAAATCATCAGTTTAATATATTAATAATCATGTCCCAAAGTATTAGTTCTGGAAACGGTCAACAAATGTTTACTTAATGTTATTTTGATAGTCAATTCTATTAAACAACGTATGCACAAATAAGTTTGGAAGGCAATTACTCAAAATCATGTTTATTTTTACTCCAAGAGTGCTGTACTTTCACTTTCCACTTTTTAAATTTCCTATACAATTGAAAATTAATATCCATGTAATTTTTTGAATTTTAATCAAAATTTTATTGGAAATTTATAGCTTTTTATTTAAAAAAATTGTGGCAGTATACCATTAAGGATTTTTAGAACACAATTTGTATAATGTTTATTATTTCTATCTTAACAGAGAGAAACTACGAGAGATTACATTACGGACAAACCAAAGAGCGGAGCTGACCCATTTGTTGCGATTGTCGGAGATGTTGACGATCCAAAATGCTGTTACATTGTTGCGGAAAAGGTCATTGTTTTGGACACTCCAAGTGTAATCACTGCCGCTAGCACTTTATTTGGATTTTTTTTTGTCTGCAATATCGAATACCCAAAGAGCTTCTCTGAAACATTTATTTTCATTCAAAAATGTTTTATGCAATTATGTGATAAATCAAAAACTCCCCGAAAAGTAGTAACGTTTGTAGAGAAATTAAAAATGTAAAACCTGAAGTGTAGCTGAATTGATCATTGATCAATAAAATTATACAAGAAAAAGTGAATCCAAAATTGTTGAACATTATGTGCATTGATTTATAAGCAAGCACAGACTAGCTTTTAATTGTTAATAAGCTGATTTATAGCTTAGACCTTGAAAATTTGATAAATGAGGTTTTGATTACATTTTTGTAAAAGAATATTTGTTTAATAATTATTGGCCAGTTGAGAATTTACTGATACTGTACTGTTGTTGGCAATAAAGTTATAAACCTAAGATGTATTGCTTAAAAAATTAATAGCAATAAAGGATCAAAGTAAATCCAAAATTTAAAAAGTGAATCCAAATTTTTTGAACGTTATGTGCATTGATTTATAAGCAAGTGCACGCTAGCTTTTAATTGTTAAATAAGCTGATTTAGCTTAGACCTTGAAAATTTGATAAATGAGGTTTTGATTACATTTTCGGAAAAGAATTTTTGTTTAATAATTATTGACCAGTTGAGAATTTACTGATACTGTACTGTTGTTGGCATCAAAGTTATGAACCTAAGATGTATTGCTTAAAAAATTAATAGCATCAAAGGATCAAAGTAAATCATCTGTGAAATTCAATTTGGATATGATGTGTCACACCTTCCATTACTAGGCGAATTATGCCAATTGTTTGTTATTGATTATTTGAAGTTTAAGGTATTAAAAAGTTACCATTTTAACAAAATGGAGTATTGAATGAATTTGTTTTTCTTGTTCTTTTTTTTTTTTGTAGATTTTCTGAAGATTGTAGTGAGTGTAACTTGACTCTATTAAGTGGTGCAAGGTTACCCACTATTATTGGTTGCAACTTTTGCTGCCACCAGAAATTGAGGAATTGTATTGTTTCCCTGCAATTGCGGAAAACAGTACCTCACTTTCATAGGAAATTACTTTACCAAAAATTTGGGGAAACCTCATGTTTCCCAGCATCTTGGGGGAACATTAACTGAAATTCCAGGGAAAGTTACTTACCCCAATTTATGGGGAAAAAACAATGTTTCCTCTTCTAAGGAAACTTTCAGTTACACCAAAAACTGGTGGCAGCCTAGTTGCACCCTATTTTTGGGGTAACCTGCCCTCTTTTTTTTTACAGTGTACAGTATCACTGGAAACGTAATTACTGTACATTAAAGGCAAAAACAAATTAAACAATTCATTG